GTGTATATTTATAAGAGAGAGATAGAGAGGGACTGAGGGACCTCACACACACACACACACACACACACACACACACACACACACACACACACAAACACACACTTTCATAAGTTAAGATTTAACTCATGTCTGATATCACAGTTTTATGTCACAAAGAATTGGTGTTCTAGAAATAGAAGCTTGTATAAATTCTGCCTTAGTTTAGCCAAATATATGTCTCTTATGGCCAAGGGTGCCCTTGACATTAGTACTACAGTACCTTTACAATGTATGAGAATTAGAAAAGCTGTGCCAAGTTATTTGTCTATTGTGTGTCTTCTTAGGTTTAATTAAATGTGGTTGTGAAGGATTAGAAGCCAGTGGTCATATAGATCTTCAGTTCTTTTTGTGTGTGTGTGAAGGTCATTATCTTGGCTTATGCTACTGTGGTTTACAAAATCCATTTTTTTTTTTTTTTTTGATGTTTTTCGAGACAGAGTTTCTCTGTGTAACTTTGTAGACCAGGCTGGCCTCTAACTCACAGAGATATGCCTGCCTCTGCCTCCCGAGTGCTGAGATTAAACATGTGTGCCACCACTGCCCGGCTAACACAATCCATTTTTATTGATGGGTAGAATATAAAACAGTGATTAATTTTCACCTGAAGATCTCAGTGTGGAATCTCAGATTGGCTGTCTGTGAAAGCTAATTATTTGCTTGTGTCTTTTATGTTTAGTAGAGGCAGGCCCTGGCCTTTCCACTCTTTCAGATGGTTCATACAGCCCTTCTTTCACAGCGTAAAGATGAACCCACCCATCTCACAGCCATGGAATGTTTTGCTCTCTGCTCTGCTAATCTCTACTTGATAGGCAATTTCCTTTTTGTAGTTGCATGTAATATATACTTAGGTTGTAGTGTTTCAAATATTAAAACAAAGCTGAACATCACTAGTTCCACTAAGTGCTTTTCATAAGATCCAATGTCCAGAAAGCCTTCGTTGGTGCAGTTACCCTCTTCTGGACCACTTTCTGCTTCTGATTGCTTCTGTTAAAATGAGAGGCCTAGGATTAGGCACAGCACTGTTAATTGCTTCCTTTTAGATTGTAAGTAGACTATTGAAGAAACACAGCATGCCATTGGATGCCTGTCTGCCTCCTATTCTTTGTTTCCCTCTCTCCTCATTTTCTTCCACCCTCCTTTAGCATTGGATGTGCCCAATCTGTGTCACATAGCATCGAGTTACTCTGCCTGAGCTAGGAGTTACTTGAGCTGCCTTTGCTCTGGATCAAAATTTGTGTGATGTTCTTAGTTGTGTGCTGTCTTTTTTTCTTAGTTGAGAAGGTAGAGTAAATGTGTTCAAGTTGCCTTTTATTGCAAAATGTCTGGAAATTGCTTTGAACAGATACTTAGACAATGACTTGTTTTAATCTGTGCAGTAAGAAGCATTCTTACTTATTTTTCTAGGTTACTATTTGGATGAGTAAATTTACTAGGTTAACTTTGCAGAATAATAGGTATAGTAGCTAATGAGAGATTTTTTTTTTCCTTTAACTTTTCAGAGACCTTGAGTGGGTCACTAAATTGTCTTACAGAGGTGATGTAAGGAACCGTCATGAATTGGAGTTAGTTTGCTTTTAAACATTGTAAAGCAAAAGCTCTTGGTAGGATTTGATTAAAACAAAGATTGCTTATATTCTAGCATCAGATGTCTTCATGGAAGAGACTAAAATTGTGTCTTTGAATTGCTTTTGGCTAATGACTCACATGGTAGATTTTGGCACATTTAATTTTCAACCTTGGCAAATTGCAATCATATTATTTTTTTATTCTTCCATGAACGTTAAAATCCTTGCAAACTCGTAACCAGTCTTAGTGTGAGAGCCTTGTGAAGTGAGGCTGGGTTCTGATCTTGCTTCTCTGGGAGACTTGCATATTCTGTAATAAACATAATCCTAGCATGTGGAAAACGACAAAGTTATCTCTCTGTATCAGTTGGCTTTTAAAGTTTAATTTCATAATGTCAGTGTTTGAGAATATATTTCCCTTTAGCAATACAAAGGACTATATAAAGTAAGTCTAAGTTCATTTTCACTATTCTCAAAAAACAGCATTGTTCCTGTTTTTTAACATGTTGGGTAAGTTTTTTCCACCCCTCCCCCAGCTAAGGCAAAGTTTCATCGGCCTTGTGGTTAGAAGGGTGAGGCAGATTCAGAAATAAACGTCAGCTTCCTTTGTGGCTTACCCTCCCCATCCCTTCATATTTTATTGTGTGTTCTAGAAGGCAGACGGTAACGGCTAGACCTTTCACTGCTGGGAAATCTAGTCAGCTTTGTCCTTTGAGGGTGTGCATTGACTGTTACTGCTAAAGTTTTGAGTTTTTTTGACTATCTCTCTTAAATTTGGTACAGGAACATTATATAGTGAAGATTATTCTTATATTTCTATACTATAACTAGCATCTTAGAATATAAAATAGATACTTGATTTTTCCCCCTTAAAGTCTCTAATAATTATGCTAAAATATTTATCTTGTTTCACAGTATATATGAATATATGCATGCATAACTGTGTTAATATATGGATAGAACTTTATCAAGATCGTAAATTTTTAAAAATGCAAATATGGGCCAGATGGTGGTGGTGCACACCTTTAACCCCAGCACTCGGGAGGCAGAGACATACTCTGAGTTTGAGGCCAGCCTGGTCTGCAGAGTAAGTTCCAGGACAGGCAGAGCTATACAGAGAAACCCTGTCTCCATCCCCCACCCTCCAAAAAAAACCATAGCATAATGTGTGGTGTTATTGTGAATATACAAACTCTGCTGCGTATTCAAAAGCATTACAGGGCTATTGTGTGTTAGTTTGCAAAATATAGATTTCTCTAGACTTGATTAATTAGGTCAGACATAGTCCCTGTTGTCATAGAGTTTTTTCCTTAGCAGTGAACATTGTCAGATGAACCCATGACATTTGGTCAACTTTGTCCTTGCTCACGGCTATCAGAGTAGTTGTAGAAAGCCTCAGAAAGGCCTGAAACAGTAAGGTAGAAATAATCTTGCAGCCGGGCATTGGTGGCTCGCACAGCTTTAATCCCTGCACTCGGGAGGCAGAGGCAGGCGGATCTCTGTGAGTTCAAGGCCAGCCTGGTCTCCAGATCGAGTGCCAGTATAGGCTCCAAAGCTGCACAGAGAAACCTTGTCTCGAAAAACCAATAATAATAATAATAATAATAATAATAATAATAATAATAATAATAATCTTGCTAACAAGTTTGTTTTTGAAGCGATTCTAGTTCCTAGATACTGTCACATGACTAGCATGTAGTGAAGTCATCACAACTGTAAATGGTGTGTCTTTCAGATATGTAGCTTCCTTGGCTTTCTAGTTTGTTTTCTTAACTTTACAAGGTGAGTTTTTTAATTTTAAAATCCCAAATTCCCTTCCTGTTTTAGACAAGTTTTTGCTTCTATATCTCAGTAAGAATTGGTAAATGTTAAACTTAATAGAGAAACAAAGCCATTTTAAGGGTAGAAATTATTCCGTAGTTGTAAGACAAGAAAGTTAGAAATTCATATTTTATGGTTTACTTCTTGGCACTTAACAATAAAGGATCAGGTTTGTACATGTAGAAGTCTTTAGTTGTGGAATGTTAATAAATATAGGCTTTGGATTATAGCTTGTGTGCTTTATTTTTAGTTATTAACTATATGTTTTAGATTATTGACACTAATTTTGAGGTAATTGGTAGCAATGAAGAGGAATCTGTCATTTTGGTTCTTGGGAGTAAGAACTAAAATCCAGTCAAGTAATTTATTCTGCTAACTACCCCCACTGTAAACCTCTTGTGGGTTAAATGGTTGACCCTGCTGTCAGCTGACCATCGGTGTTAGAAGTATATTCCTGAGAGTAACTGCAGCAATGAAGTAAAAATACCATACTTTCTGGAGATTTATTTGTACCTGTTAGTATCAGAAACTAGAGTGTGGTTTATCCTCAGTGTAGAGATTATTAAATTGAGATCTTTTAGAGTAAAACTTAGAAGGTTTATGATAGGCTTCAGCCTGAAAACCCTCTGGAATTGAATATAAACCTTTCTATTTAAAGGCAGGTATGCATTTTTTGGAGTATGCAAATCAATAGCTTTTACTAGTTCTTCAGATAATCCTTGCTTCAAAATAGCTTCACATCTTTGTAAAACTAAATGCTAAAATACATGCATATGCGGGGAGAAATAATCTTTGTGTTTTAAGTTTGGGTGGGATGCTAAGTATGTCTATTATCGAGATAAAGGCATTTGTACTTTCCTAGAGTGATTAACATGACATTACTGGATGTACTTATACCAAACTGTTGAAAACCCTGAATTTTCTTGCCTGAACATAAAATACATTAATACTCTCCATGGGCTCCATGTCCCTTATGTGTCTATTAGAAGCTTAGAGTTTGTAGG